TACAACATTTAGAAGATAGGTATATATAAACAAAGGGGCGTGGGTATGAGTTGACTTTGATGTGACAAAAAAAAATTAAGGGGTGAAAAAAAGATTGTATTGGGCAAAGAGGAAAAGAGAAGGTAAAAAAGGTTAAATTACATTACATGAAGAGGTGCAAAGATCTATTACAGTAGAGGGAAAGAATGGAGGGAGATGAGCGCTGTTTGCACCTTATTCTTATTGGATTTGGCTCAAAGAGGGAATAACATACACAATTGGGTATACAAATCTATCTTACCATACAGGAAGAAGGAGGGGAAAGGGGAAAGAAAAGAGAGAGGAGTTGATAGAAGGGAGAGCAGATTGAGAGAGGTAGTAGTCAGAAGCAAAACACTGGTGAGGAAGGAAAGGGAGAAAGGAGGGAGAAAAATATAAATGGGGGAAAATAGAATGGAGAGAAGACACAGTTAGTAATCATAAATGTGAATGTGAATGGAATGAACTCTCCCATAAAAAGAACATAGCAGAGTAGATTGAAAACTATAATCCTACAATATGTTGTTTACAAGAAACACACAGCCCCCAGACTAAGAGGGAATCAAGTGGCTGAGCAAAGGGGGATTACAAGGATCTCTTTACTGATGCTGAGGCAGGAATTTCTTGCTTTGCCCATGCTTGGATCTGGGCCACAGTTCTGGTTGGTGGTCCTGGGGTGAAGAGGAGTGCTGGAATGGTGGAGCTTGTAGTAGTGGTTGAGAGGGAATCTTCCTCACAGTTCCAAGGCGGACAAGAGTGCTTGTGGTCACTTACAGACCAGAGCGCAGGCCAGGAAAGCAGTAAATACTTTGCCCTTGATCATACCATTTTGGAAGAACTGAAATCTTACAGGTCCCTAGAAATATCTCTGAAAACAGCTGCACAAAACCCCCGTAGCTTGGGACCATACATTCTTCACACTGGAAGCAGACCCCTACTTTAACAAGGTTTAAAACTCAAGTAATCAGCAGGGATCATGAGCAAACTGCACAAAAAAAAAAATCCGATCATAGAATCTTTCTTTGGTGACAAATTAGATCAAAACATACAACCAGAAGAAGACAACAAAGTCCAAGATCCTCCATCCAAAGCCTCCAAGAAAAATATGAATCAGTTCTAGGACATGAAAGAGCTCTAAATGGATTTGGAGAAGCAAGTAAGAGAAGTAGAGGAAAAACTGGGAAGAGAAATGAGAGTGATGCAAGAAAATCATGAAAAAACAAGTCAGCAGCTTGCTAAAGGAGACCCAAAAAATACTGAAGGAAAGAACACCTTAAAAATAGCCTAACCCAAATGACAAAAGAGGTCCAAAAGGCCAATGAAGAGAAGAATGCCTTAAAAATCAGAATTGGCCAGATGGAAAAAGCAGTCCAAAAACTCACTGAAGAAAATATTTCCTTAAAAATTAGAATGTAGCAAATGGAAACTAGTGACTTTATGAGAAATCAAGACATTGTAAAACAAAACCAAAAGAATGAAAAAATAGAAGACAATGTGAAATATCTCATTGGAAAAAAACACAATTAATCTAGAAAATAGATCTAGGAGAGATAATTTAAAAATTATTGGACTATCTGAAAGCCACAATCAAAAAAAAAAAGAGCCTAGAAATCATCTTCCAATAAAATGTCAAGGAAAACTGCCCTGATATTCTAGAACAAGAGGGTAAAATAGAAATGGAAAGAATCCACCAATCACCTCCTGAAAGAGATCCCCAAAGAAAAACTCCTAGTAATATTGTAGCCAAATCCCAGAGTTCCTGGGTCAAGGAGAAAATATTTCAAGAAGCCAGAAATAAACAATTCAAGTATTGTGGAAACACAGTCAGGATAACACCGGATTTAGCAGCTTCCACATTAAGGGACTAGAGGGCTTGGAATATAATATTCTGAAGGTCAAAGGATATAGGATTATAGCCAAGAATCACCCATTCAGCAAAACTGAGTATAATCCTTCAGGGGAAAAGATAGACATTCAGTGAAATAGAGGACTTTCAAGCATTCTTGATGAAAAGACCAGAACTGAATAGAAAATTTTACTTTCAAATGCCAGACCCAAGAAAAGCATGAAGAGGTAAACAGGAAAGAGAAATCAAAAGAGACTTACTAAGGTTGAAGTGTTTACATTCTTACATGGAAAGATGATATTTGTAACTCACAAGACCTTTGTCAGTATTATGGTAGTTGGAGGGAAAAAATTATATGTATAGATATAGATAGATAGATGATAGATAGATAGATAGATAGATAGACAGATAGATAGATAGATAGATAGATAGAGGGTACAGGGTGAGTTGAAGATGAAGGGGTGATATCTGGAGAATAAAATTAAGGGGTGAGAGGATTATACTGGGAAAAGGAGAAAGGGAGAGGTAGAATGGAGTAAATTATTTCACATATAACAGACAAGAAAAGACTTTTAACATGGAGGGGAGGTGGGGGGAAGATGAGAGGGAGTGAGTGAATCTTATTCTCATTAGATTTGGTTTAAGGAGGGAATATCATACACAGTCAATTGGGTATGAAAATCTATCTTACCCTACAGGAAAATAGGGGGAAAGGGGTTAAGAGAGCAGGGGGATCATAGAGGGGAGGGAAGATTGGGGGAGGGGGTAATCAGAAGCATGTATTTCTGAGGAGGGACAGGGTCAAAAGAGAATAGAATAAATGTGGGTGGGGGCAGGATAGGATGAAGAGAGATATAGTTAGTTTTTCACAACATTAGTACTATGGAAGTGTTTTGCATAACTATACATGTATAACCTGTATTGAGTTGCTTGCCTTCACAATGTGGGTGGGTTGGGAGGGAGAAAGGAGAAAATTTGGAACCCAAAGTTTTAAAAAACAAATGTTAAAAATTGTTTTCACATGTAACTGGGAAATAAGATATACAGGCAATGGAGTATAGAACTTTATCCTGCCCTACAGGAAAATAGAAGAGGAAAGGTATAAGAGAATGGGGCGGGGATGGAAACAAAGGCAGGCAGATTAGGGGAAGGGGTATTCAGAATGCATGCTGTCTTGGGGTGGGGGGAGGAATGAGGTGGGGAGAAAATTTGGAATTAAAAATCTTGTGGAAGTGAATGTTGAAAACTAAAAATAAATTAAATGAAAAGAGAGCACTGGAAAAAAAAGAAAACAAAACTATCAACTTTTTGCAGATGATATGATGGTATACTAAGAGAATCAACTAAAAAAAATAATTGAAACAGTTAACAATTAATTCAGCAAAGTTGCAGGATATAAAATTAACCCATATAAATCATCAGCATTTCTATATATTATCAACAAAGTTGAGTAGGAAGAGGGAGAAAGAGTATTCACATTAAAATAACTGCAGATATTAAAAAGTACTTGGGAATCTACCTGCCAAGACAAACTCTGGAACTATATGAATGTGATTATACAACATTTTTCACACAAATAAAGTCAAATCTAAATAAAAGAAGAAATATTAATTGCTCATGGGTAGACCAAGTCAACATAATAAAAAAGACAATTCTGCCTAAATTAATTTACTTATTCAATGCCACATCAAACACCAAAAATGATTTCATGAACTAGAACAAATAAATTCATCTGGAAGAACAAAATGTCAAAAATATCAAGGGAATCAATGAAAAAAAAAATTGTGGAGCAAGGTGGTCTAGCAGTTCCAGATTTCAAAATATATTACAAAACAATAATCATCAAAATAATCTGGTACTGCAAAAATATTTGTATCAGCTCTTTTGTGGTGATAAAGAATTGGAAAATGAAGGGATGCCTACCAACTGGGCAATGACTGCGTAAGTTATGGTATATGAGTGTAATTGAGTACTATTGCTCTTGTAGAAATGATGAGCAGGCAGATTTCAGAAAAACCAGCAAAGACTTACATTAACTGATACTGAGTGAAGTGAGCAGAACCAGGAAAACATTGTACACAGAAACAGCAACATTGTATGACGATTAACTATGATAGACTTAGCTCTTCTTGGCAATGCAATGATCCAAGACAATTCCAAATGACTCACGGTAAAAATGTTTTCTATATCCAGAGAAAGAACTATGGAATCTGAATGCAGATCAAAGCATACTATTTTGACTTTTTTTTTTGTTTTTCTTTCTTGTGGTTTTTTCTTTTGTTCTGATTCTTCTTTCACAACATGACTAATGTGGAAGCATGTTTAATGTGATTATACATGTATAAATTATATCAGATTGTTTACTGTCTTGGAGAGGGGGAGGGAAAGGAGAAAGGAAGAATAATTTGAAGCTCAAAATCTTACAAAAATAAATATTGAAAACTATCTTTAAATGTAATCAGAAAAAAAATCAAAATATTATTAAGTACAAAATAATCTAGTACTGTCTAAGAAATAGAGAGGTGGATTAGTGGAATAGATTAGGTTTATAAAATACAGTAGTAAATGATAACAGTAATCTAGTATTTGATAAACACGAAGATCCTAGCTTTTGGGGAAAAGAACTCAACATTTGACAAAAAATGTTGGGAAAACTGGAAAGCAGTTTGGTAAAAGCTAGGCATACATCAACATCTCATATGGTATAACAACATATGGTCAAAATGGGTACATGATTTCAATATAAATGGTGGTATCATGAGCAAATAAAAGGAGTATAGAATAATTTGCCTGTCAGATCTACAGATAAGGGAAGAATTTATGACTAATCATGAGAGTATTATGAGAAGTAAAATGAATAATTTTGATTATGTTAAATTAAAAAGGTTTTGTAGAAACAAAACCACTGTAGCCAAGATTGGAAGGAAAAGCTTCTAAAGTCCAGAATACTGGGACAAAAAAAAATAACAGCAAGTGTCTCTGATAAAGGCCTCATTTCTCAAATATATAGAGAACTGAGAAAAATTTATAAGAATATGAGCCATTTCCCCATTGATAAATGGTCAAAGTGTATGAACAGGCAGTTTATAGAAAAAGAAATCAGACTAGACCCAAGAAGGCGGCCATCAGGAGGCTGATGAAGGAGCTAGAAGAAATCCACAAGTGTGGGATGAAAAACTTCTGTAACAGGGACAGCTAGGTGGTACAGGGTATAAAACACCAGTCCTGGAGTCAAGAGCAACTGAGTTCAAATCCAGCCTCAAACATATAACGTTCACTATCTGTGTGACTCTGGGCAAGTTACTTAACCCCAATTGTCTTGCCAAAAAAACAAAAACAAAAACAAAGACAAAACAAACAAAAAACAAAACAAAAAAACCAAAATACAAACTTGTGTAACATCCAGGTTGATGAAGCTAGTTTATTGACTTGGCAAGGGTTTATTGTCTATGAAAACCCATCATGCGATAAGGGAGCCTTCAGAATTGAAATCAACTTCCCAGCAGATTATCCATTGAAATCAACTAAGATCTCCTTTAAAACAAAGATTTACTACCCTAACATGGATGAAAAAGGGCAGGTCTGTCTGTCAGTAATTAGTGCCGAAAACTGGAAGGCAGCAACCAAAACTGAGAGAGTCATCCAGTCCCTCCTAGCACTAATGAGCAACCCCCAGCCTGAGCACCCACTTCAGGCTGACCTAGCTGAAGAATCGTGAAAAAGATTCTGTAAGCATGCTGAATACTTTACAAAGAAATATGGGGAAAAACAACCCATGTACTAAATCTTCTGTGATTGATTCTAACTAGGGCTAGCAGAGACTTGCAGGAGTGAATTTTCAATACCCCACAACCAGGACTCTTTGGGAAATGGACAAGGGCCACCACCTGGTGTTAACTTGTGGCAGTTACTAACTTTCTACAGTTTTCTTAAGCAAAAGTGGTCTAGGTAAACCTGTAAAGAAAGGATTAAAAATTTAGGATGTTTTAGTTCTGATTTCTTTGTTTTAAAAATCACTGTTTCAATCTACCTTGAAGGACAATGTGTTTTTCTCTTTGCCCGTATCTATCCCAAATCTTCAGTTTCTCTTCAGGTTTAAAACAGAAAGTTAGTGAGTGGTGCATACTACTGATCCCTCCCTTTCCCTTTGTAGATCTTATTTTATTGAGTTCATTTTAATCACACTCCCTATCCCCAGAACGATGCCTTGGAAACTCCCATTCAACCTCTTCCTTTCCCCTCCACCCCAAGTCCAGAAAGAAAATAGCCTAACATCCAGCTGTTCTACTGCCTTCCCTCTCTGTAGCTCTGTGCTTAGTGAGTATAGGTTGTGAGTTTGTAACATCTAAGAAACTCAAATGAGGTCAAACCCAACGGTGAAGTCAGTGATGAGGAAGGAGACTGGCTGTTGTGTAAATTTGTCTGATGTTATCAAAATGATGTCAATTAAATGAGCAAATCCACAAAAAAAAAAAAAAAGAAATCAAAGTCATTGCTAGTCATATAAAAATTCTCTAAATCATTATTGGTTAAAGAAAGGCAAATTTAAACAACTCTGAATTTTCACCTCACACCTATCACATTGGCTAACATGACAGAAAAAATGACAAATATTGGAGAGGATGTGGAAAAATTGGGACGTTAATGCACTACTGGAGTTGTGAACTGAACCATCCATTTTGGAGAGCAATCTGAAACTATAACCAAAGGGCTATAAAATTGTGCATACCTTTTGACTCAGTAATATCATTACTACATCTGTATCTCAAAGAGATCAAAGAAAAAGTTCTTAAATGTACAAAAATATTTATAACACTTCTTTTTGTGGTGGCAAAGGATTGGAAATCTAGGGGATGTCTATCAGTTGTGGAATGATTCAACAAATTGTGGTATATAAATGAAATGGAATACTTTTGTACTATAAGAAATGACAAAGGGGGGTGGTTTCAGAAGAAAAATGAAAAGTCTTACATGAACTCATGCAAAGTGAAATGAACAGAACAGAAAAAAACATCATACATTATAATACATGGTAACAGCAAAATTTTAAGGATGATTAACTGTGAAAGCCTTCACTACTTTGATCAAGACAATAATCCAAGGCAGCTTCAAGGGACCCATGACAAAAAATGCTATCCACTTCCTGGGAGAGAACTAATGAGATCTGAATATAGATTGAAAGATATTTATGTTTTTTACTTTATTTTTCTTGTTTTTTTGTCTGTGTTTTATTTTGCAAGATGACTAATATGGAAATATGTTTTGCATGACATCACATTTATAATTGATAAAATTGCTTGCCTTGTCTAGGAGAGAGGAAAGGGGAAAGGGAGACAGAAAATTTGAAACTCAAAATTTTAGAAGATCATTGTTAAAAAATTATAAGTAATTGAAAAATATTTAATGAAATAAAAATATGTTAAATCTTAAAAGATATAAAAAGTTGTACATGTCGATAAATTTAATTATTTTACTTTATACTAAGTAATTTGCACTCCACTGTATAAATGGATGAAGGACAGCTGTAGCATCTACTTTGACGCTGAGACTCATGTGATAATATATGCATAGTGGTTTGCCAACTCTAAAGCCCCAGGTAAATAATCTTTCTGTACAAACAAAACTAAAATCTCCTGATAAGCCAAATAACAACAATAATAGAATTGAAGGTTTAACTAAAAGGTAATAAATATAGGTCTGATGTAATGACCAATGCTAGTACTAGATTACTGAGGTTAAAACACACTTCTTTTCCATTTGTTTAAAAAATAGATAAGCTGAAGAATTGCGGAAAGAATGCTAGAATTAGAGGACTGTAGTTAGAATTCCATCTCTGCTGCTTACTACTTTTGTAACATTAGGAAAGTCTTATGGACTCCATTTCCTTATTTGTAAAATGAGAGGTTCACTTTGGAAGATTTCCAAGTGCTCGCCTAGCTCTATTGCTGTGATCCTAAGAGATGCAAATGAAAAAGTTACATGTGTTGTCAGTTGCAATTGGTAGTTTCACTTAACTTTTTTTTAATGTCACAGTATTTGAGGGTGTTTTTGTTTATTGGAAAGTATCTAATGATTTTTTTTTTAAATAACATACTCAAAAATTAAAAATGGGGGAAATTATGATATAAATTAAAATTTCAGCTAACATAGTCTGGGTTACTAATAATAAGATATGAATTCTTTTTGTGACACTTTCCATTATTCCGTTTTAATATAGAAATATAAGGGGAGCCCTAAAATATCTGAAATTCAAATCAAGCTCAGCATAAAGTTTTGGTTTGTTTGCCCAAAGAATTCAGGATGACATGTGTGATCAGCATATTTGCATGTAATACCCCCAAGGCAAGCATGGTATGATTCCCAGGGGTAACCAATGAAGGATGGGACATTGAATTGCGTCCTAGTTTCTCTCTGAAAGATTATGGAAGAACATGTTTCCAGTCCATTCACACCATCCTCTTTGCTCATTATTGTACAACACTTGTCTCTTTCTACCTCCTCTAACAGCTGACCCTCAATGACTATGCAAGCTCCAAATCTCTTCCCTTCTAAGCCAGACATCAGCCCTTGAAAATATTTCTGAATTGGGTCGCTGAAGCATCTCTCCAGGTGTCATTGAAACAATGTCACCCCCAGCATACCTAATTCCTGCCCTCACAGTCCTTCTGACTGTGGTTGGTGTTTCTCAGTCAATGAAACTCTATGCTGTGGCAGTGGATATTGAATAAAAGCCCATTCCACCTTTTCATTTCTTGTGGGACAAAATGAATTGCACAGGTTGAAAAGACATGGATACAGTTTCATGGAACCTCATGAGTTTATATTTCCCAACAACCCTCTCCCTCCTCTGTGCTTCCTTATTTCTGTAAACCACAACACTACTCTTCCAGTCTCCCAATTTCTTGATCTCCTCCTTTTCCTTGACAGCTCACTCAACTGAAACTACTCCCTTCAAAATGACTGTTAACCTCTTAATTGCCAGATGTTCTGGTCCTTCCCCTTTTTGATTTCCCTGCAATTTAACACTCGTGACCTCCCTCTCCTCCTAGACACTTACTCTCTTCTTTCTTGATTTCAAATTATAGTGAGAATATGTCACTTAAAGCCCTTATATCTGTACATTTAATAAAACTTGAGAACAGAATTTTCTAACTTAAAAAAATTCTTCCAAAGAATACCAGTGGTTTTTAAACAATTTGCTAAAAATATAAAAATGAAATACTTTCTGATTAAAACATATAATATGCATCAGGAAAGATGAAAATTTACAACAAATATCTTTGCATAATTGATGGATGGTGATAAAAAATAATTTTGAAAATATAATAAAGGTAAAGTGAATGACTAACTTCTTCCATTTGGGCCTATCATTATGGGACATCTTTTTAAATTCTGATGGACATTGAAACCACATATCAAAATAAATTGAACCTAGAATTAGACCTTTAAATCATTGAATCATAAAATATAAAATCCAGAAATTAAAATAATGAAGCACATTCAAATTATTCTCACTAAGAATATAATTATTAATAATTTAGTGAAGGTTAAAATGTTTGTGAATCATTAATAAAATATTATTTTTAAAATATTACTTCATCTTTATTTAAAGTGTACATAATATTAATGAATACATATATATATATATATACACATATACAGTGAATAAGCATATATACATATACAGGAGGTACACAATCAAAAAACATGTTTTAATGATAGAATATATGATCCAAAAAGTTTGGAACTCATTAATATAAAGGTTCCTCCTAATTCTAAGATTCTAGAATTAATGCTTCCTTCTTTATGCTCTAAGGTCCCATCCAGTCTTCTTACTCCAAACTATAAGCTCTTTCTTTTATCACAATGGCTTGTCATAAGTCTGTGACTATGGAAAGAACATCTTTACCCCTACTCATAAAATCTGGGATTTTCCAGGCAGATTTATAGAACACATTTGATGGGTGCACATGAGTTGATTTTTTTCTCTTCTAAATTAATAAACTAAAGTAGTAAAATCAATATTAGTTGATAATATTTCAAAATCATCTCAGTTCCTGGATTTAGATTCGGTACATCAAATAAAAAGTAGTATTCTTGCATTATGAAAAGGCCAATTTATTTTAATAGAATGTCCTTCTTTGGCTATTTGTTGAAGCATATGGGAATGTAAAGAACAAAGGTATCTTCATGGTTAGAGATTCATTTTGGCTAGATCACTTAATTCCCTAAATAAGAAAGTAGTAACAATTTTCATTTTCTTTCTCTTGTTGGTTGTGATGCAATAAGCAATTATATTTCAGGTCAGATGAAGTATTTTTCCCCAAGAATCATCAGACATCACATCAAGCATTTATTTATTTAAAAGTTTACTGCTAAATCCCAAACTATACCTAACTGCTTCGAAAATGTCAAATGTCCATGGTACTCTAAGGAATCTGTTATCTCACAGATGTGCTTTTATTCCATCCACAGATCACTACTTCTCCAGTCTTTTCTTCCTTTGCACTTCTCAGATTCTTTCTAGAAATCCTCCCAAAAGTTCCAGGTTCACTGTTTGTGTACCTTCTATACACCTGGTTGACAATATGACAATGAAAATTAAACTAAAAACAGAACAATGTTATATTAACTAAAATGGTAGCATTTTGAATGTTCATTTTGAAAAACTTGATGAAGAATCTGTGACTACATGAAACATCCTAATGAATGGCAGAG